AATTCTCCACATTTTCACATATAAATGAAGCTTCATCATCTCAGGATGTGAAATTCTTGTGCATTATCAGTCCCATCGCTCCAAAGAAACTTCAAGATCAATGGTCCTTTATATAATAGCCATCTAGGCCTTATTGTGCAGAATTTATTATGCCCCTTCCTTTCCTGTCATGTATCATCTTTAAAACTCCTTTGCTCTGTGATTGCAAGGAACATATTCTAAGGGGTATTTTTTGGAATCCAGAGAGATAGCCAAGCCAGGTTCTTCATTCCAATCAGTCAAGTGGATTAAGAAGAAATAATAAAAAAGGAATCCTGTGAAGTCAGTTCTAACTCATGGCAGTTTTGTCAAACACATAGACAAAAAGGAAAGATGTAGCATATTTTCACATTACATGTAGAGATATTAGCTGGTGGTGTGTGCATGGACATGCATGTGTGCTTGCGTGTAAATTACTAGAATACCACAATGAGCCTTTTGCTCATATTCTTAGGATATTTTATTTTCTATTATGGGTTTGTAGGGTTCTGTGTAAATGTTTCAAATATTTTTACTTCATATATTTATGTGTTAAATTTGTTATGTCTTTCTGTGGAGATTTTTTCAGGGGGTGATCACTGGACTTGTTAATTTTTTTTCTTGTATAGCCTCTGGGTTTCTTGTGCTTCTCATTGCTGTCAGATCAGAACTAACTCCTAGTTGACCCTACATTGGATTTCTAAGACAGTTAATCACAAAGGAGGAGATTATGCATCTTTGTCCTGGAGAGCTTTTGGAGATTTCCTCCTCCAGATAGGTGTAGTCTTTGCATTAGAAGCACAGTTCCTTACAGATGACATCATTGTACACATTTCTTACTCTAGGATTATGATTCCTGCCCCCCTTATTTTAAACATTTAGATATTTAATATCTCTGCATGTCTTTCTAGCTTTATTGATTTTTTTCTCCCCCCTGCTCCTTGATTTTTTTTCTTCTTCTTGTATACCATAGAATTAGATCTGACTGGCACAAGAGGAGATTGCCCCTCCTTCTCCAGGAGAGCATCTGGTGGATTCGAACCACACTCCTTTGGGATTGTAGTGCAGCTTCTTGCCACTAGACCACCAGAGCTCCCTGCTCCTTGATTTTTGACTTTTAGTCCTAGAATGTATATAAGCTATTGATGGTTGAAACTTTAATTTTGTAAATGAGGAAACCAGTGGATACTCAACCGGGTTTTTTTGTAGCGTGCTAAAAAGAATCCTGTATTGTTTATTTTTAATAATCAATAAAATAATCCTGTATTGTTTTATTTTATTGTTTAATCCTTGTTCATTTCCATTTCTAATTTGGCTAAATTAAAAACTCATTTTCACTGAATTGATTCTAACTCACAGCAGGCCTCCATTTGGTTTCTAGTGATTAACAGGAAAATATTGACCATCTTTCTCCCAGGGAGCTGCTGGTGGACCTGAGCTGCTGGAGACATTTGGCCTTTTGGTTGGCAGTACAGCACACTATGGATTATACCACTGGAATTCCTTAATTTGCATAATTGGGATTGGAGTTGCCTACATTTGAATAATAGTTACATGCCACCAAAGGCAATACTATTCACCAGTGATAAAACTGTGGATAAGACAGAAAATATGAAGCAAATAAACAAATACATAATTATTGTTCAAAAATAAGAGCAGTAAAGAAACAGAAATAATTTCAGTAGTGGAGAATAATTGAGTTTGAAGGAATTTAGACCATTTAGAGTAGGTGGTCAGAGAATGCCTTTCCAAGAAGTGAATTTAAGTTGAGATCAGAAATGTAAGAAGGAGCCAGTCCAGGACCCTAGGGAGAATCAGTGTTCCGGACTGGAAAAAACAGCAGTTTAAAAATGTTTGAGATGTTAGAAAACTTGGCAACTTGGCAGACTTAATGAACTGAAGCTGGTACAGAATGTGAGAGGGTATTAAATGTTCCACGGAATATGTAAACTGTCAAGTTGCTGGTAAACTTTTACTGTTATCTTTTTTGCATGTTTCTGAAGTAATTCCATTGATATTTGCTTTGTAAAAATCTGCAATACTTATCCCTCTCTAGAAACACACAGCACAGAGACAACTGGAAAAAAAAATCCAATGATAAAAGTCTTTATTTTCACATTGTAAAATCTTATCTTGTAATAGAAATGTATGTTTATCTGGGTCAAAATACATGCTGAATTTCTCAGGGTTACTAGTTACATGACTAGAAATCTTAAGGACTGATCCTCTTTAGATGGAACTGATTTCAGATAGAGAGTTGCTGCATAAATCTGTTTATCTTATCAAAATGGAATAAGAGGGAAAATCTGTTAAGATAGGGCAATAATGGGAAAATGTTTTCTGTGTTCTTTAGTGCATGAATTTTTTCCCCCCAGAGCATTACAGTGTCCTTTTGGTTTTTATGTAGCTTCTGTATATATGCAGTATGTACCTTTGACTCCTAAATGAATTTTTAAAAATCTAAAGACTAGTGTTTGATCTTCTTCTTCATTGCATACCCCCTTTTAATGAAAATTACTTTTCTGGAATGTGTGCAGTGTTTTGTTAGGTTTTAATGAATTGCAGTACTCCCTCCTTTGTTCATGGACTGCTAAGATTGTTTCCCCCCCTGCATAATAATTCTTATCTATTCATAAATAGTCAAACTTAAGAAACTCCTTGATGGCTGGCGTATTTTCTCCATATATAAGACATGCATTGCAAAAATCGATGTATAAATTTTACTTTTGAGTGCTGAAAAGACTTCAGTTATAATGCTAGGCTTTGTGGTATGGTTTATTCTTTCCATTATCTTGATGTGTTAATATATGCTTCTTTTGAAACCCTTAGACTTTACTTTTAGTAAAACATGAATTAGTCAGGAGCTCTGGTGGCCTAGTGGCAAGAAGCTGCACTGCAATCCCAGAGGTGCGTGCTTTGAATGCACTAGATGCTCTGCTGGAGAAGAAGGGACAATATCTTCCTGTATCAGTCAGATCCGATTTGACAGTACACATACACAAAATAATAATAAATATATCCCCCCAAAATACAACCCAAACACATTAATTAATCACTTTATGCTGCAAGTACGGGGATGACAATGTTGAATAAGACATTATCATTCAAGAGCCTAAGAGAATGTAGAGGAAATGTTGTCAATGTGTTGTTGAGTTTGAAACGACCCATATAGCTGACCCTCCAGTGGACTTTCAGAGGCAGTAAACCACATTGGAGGAGATTGCCTGCTTTGTCCTGAAGAACAACTGCTGGATTTGAACTGCATACTTTTAGCTTGGCAGTGCAGTTTCTTACCACTGAGCCCTGTTGGTCTAGTGGTAAAAAGCTGCGCTGTCAGCCCAGAGATACACAGCATGAGTCTACCAGGTGCTCCGTGGAAAAATCAGTATAGCAACAACATAAAGTACATCATACTTAACAACAACAAGCGGCCAGAGCTCCATTTAGGGGAAAGTCATGTAAAAGACTATTGATGTGATAAATGTGTAGCGTATTTTGTAACAGAGAAAAGGTAAATTTTTTATGAGAATCAGAAACAGGAGCTAATAGTTAGCTTATCAGGTATGATGAATAAGATTGAATATGGGAAGTTGTTAGCTGTTGTGTGCTGTTGAGTCAGAACCACTCGCCACTCCTAACTGACCCTCCAGTGTGCTTTCCAGAGGCTCTACATTGCACAGGAGATGAGGTAGAGGAAGAAATAAATATCAAAGGCATAACAGTTTTAATGTGCATGGTTGACTTATTTGTGCTTTGGGTAACTTATTGTTTAGGAGTAAAAGAAATTGCAAACAAGGAAACAGAAAAGCTGTGGTAGGCCTTTCATTATGTTGTAGAATTGGGACTTGAATTTTTCTAAATGGGGATCCATCAGGAATTTTAAAGCAGCAGGACATGTTCTGGCCAGCTTTGTAGGGTAGAAAAATACCTTGGTTGATGTGAAAGGATTAGAAGGGAAGATCTTGAGGGCTGGAAGACCAGGTAGTAGGAGGACACTGTAAGAATGTAAGAGGTGATGAAACCTGAACTGAGATTTAACAGAGAGACGAGAGAAAAGACCATGAATTTTCAAAAGATTGAGATAATCCCATGTCTGCATCAAAGCTCTGGTTGGAATATAGTGTGTTACAGTGGAAGGTAACAAGACATCTAGTTTCTGGGCTTAGCTCTGTTCTAAACTCATACTTATTACCTTGAGTTCCTCAAACATACGGGATTCTTAATGGTTAAGTAGTGATACTGGTCCTCCTACCTACATCTCTTCATCTCTGACATCCTAATAAAGGAAAAACTGAAGCAAAATTAAAAATAAAAATCACAATTTAGTGTTTCGCAATTTGTTTTATAATTAATTACCTTGCGCCTAATTGTTATATTGAAAAAATTTGGGCAGAAATGTCTAGTAGCTGTTGAATTATCAAGATGCTAATGGATTTTAAAAATCTTAAAATTAGATGGCTAGATCTTTCTTATCCCTTTTGAATAGTTTCTTATCATAGTCCTACTTTGTATCTCCTTAGCATTTGTAGTTGATATATTTAGAAGCTCTCTGTTCAGATTTTTGTGTTTAGCTTTTAGAGGAGTTGGACTCAATGGATTAAACTTTTTTTTTTGTGTCCAGTTTTAATGCTATTTTATTGCTTTAGTTAATAAGTGTTTTGGGTTATCTTATTCCTGAACATTTACCATACTGAATGGTGGTCAGCATTTAGCAGAACATGGATTAGTAAGTATTAGTAGGTTTGCTTTTAAAACAAGGCCACACGAATTTGCTGTTATTTTTATTCCTGATTTTAATTGAAGTGAATTTCATGGAACTTTTTTTATTTTTCTGAACTTTTCTACTTTTCTGTTTAACTGAATTGTTAAGAGATTCTTTTGAGATGATGTAATATAGTTAAATATTTTTGTTGCACTAACTAAAAATGTTAATTTCCATTATAACATATTTTAAAAGCATCTCTTTTCCCCTTTCCTTATAGTTCCCAAAGATCCAAAACCCCAGTGGAGACGAGTAGCGTGGAGTTACGATTGTACTCTCCTGGCCTATGCTGAAAGTACAGGAACTGTGAGGGTGTTTGATCTTATGGGAAGTGAACTGTTTGTTATTGCCCCTGTAAGTAAATACCTTATCTTGTCTGTAAGTAAATACCTGACATTGATTACATGTTTTTTTCAGTGTATTCCAGGTTTTAGATATTTGAATGAATGGATTTAAATAGGGAAAGCAAAATCAGATGATATGCTCTGAATTTGCTCAAAATCTAGTCAAGAAATTTAGTTACTAAAAGTATTTGTTCTTTATGTGTTGTATTACACTGTCTGCATGTAACAACCACTGTGAAAACATGGGATACCAGAAGAATGTTTGTGCTTTATTGACTATGCAAAGATGTTTGTGTGGATCATGACAAGTTGTGGCTGACATTGAGAAGAATGGGAATCCCAGAGCACTTGATTGTGCTCATGCGGAACCTGTACCTGGACCAGGAGGCTGTTGTGTGAACAGAGCAGGGGGGCACTGCATGTAATTGGGAAGGGAGTACGTCAGGATTATATTCTTTCTCCATACCCGGTCAATATATATGCTGAGCAAATTATCTGAGAAGCTGGACTCTATGAAGAAGAGTGTGCATCAGAATTGGAGGGAGACTCATCAGTAACCTAGCTTGTTGACAGTGCTTGAAGTGTTTGTTGCAGAAGATCAAGGAATGCGACTTTTGGTATGGATTACACCTCTCTCTAAAGAAAACAAAGATTCTTACCGCTTGATTGATAGACAACATCATGATGGATGGAGAGGAGACTGACATTGTCAAAATCTCATCTTGCTTAGATCCACAGTTAACATCCTTGGTACGAGCAGTCAGGCAATAAGGAGACACATTGCACTGGAAAAAATCTGCATTTAGGGACTTATCCAAATTATTGAGGAGTAATGATGTCACTTTGAAGACTAAGATGTGTCAGATTCAGGTCATACTTTTTCTGATCACTTACTATGCATCTGAGAGCTGGATGGTGAATAAAGATGACAGAAAAAGAATTGATGCCATTGAGCTGTGGTGTTGGAGAAGAGCACTGAACATCCCATGGTGGCTAAGAGAACAAACAGATATGTCTTGGAGAGGGTGCAGCTAGAGTGCTCTTTGGAGGCAAGAATGATGATGCTTTGCCTCATATACTTTGGTCATGTTGCTTGGAAGTGCTCTTCCTTAGAGAAGGACATGATGCTGGGAAAGGTGGAGAGTGGGCAAAGGAGAGGAAGACCTTCAACCAGGTGGATTGACATGGTGATTGCTTCAGTGGGCTCTTCTTGTGTGTCAGGAAGTATGAGGATGGCACAGGACAGAATAAGGTTCAGATCTTTTGTTCATAGGGTCGCTATGAGGTGTGCTTGACTTGGTGACACCTAACAAGAACAACATCAACAACGTGAAAACATGATAGTAAAACCAGAACAAAACACAACACATGATCTTTGTTGTTGCTGTTGTTGATTGCCGTCGAGTCGAGCACAATTCATAGTGACTCTGTGAGCAAAAGACCTAATGCCTTTCCATAACTATTGTCATTTCTCCAAGTTCATAGAGTTTCCAGAGGCATGTGGTTTAGGGAGTGGATGCCACTCCTGCTTCCCAACCTGTTTAATAACTGGGAGCTCTACCAAACACTGTCCACAATGGGAAACCATTCTGGTATTTTATATGCCCCAGTGGCACCAGGTTCAGTATCATAGCAAACCCAGGTTAATTCATACAGCACATTGACAAAGAGTGATGTGCAAAGTGAAAGAGTGTTCCTCCAAATAGAACAGCACTAGTCTCATTTAGCAGTGGTTAAGAGTTATTGAGTTGAATACAACTCAGTAAGCTTTGCACAAAAGACCTGAACTCTGTTCCATAACTACCATCATTTCTGTACATTGATAAAGTTTAGGGAGTTTGTAGAGCTTCCAGAAGCATCTAGTTTAGGAAGTGGATGTCACTCCTGCTCCCCAGCATGAATCAATCTGGAAGCTCATCCAAACATTGTACACAATGGGTAACCTTTATCAACACATGATAGTTATAAATAATATTTGGAAGTTCTGAAAGTTGTTTTAAAAAGTCCCAGTGAAGGGAATAAATAAATGGATGTAGACAACAGGAACATCTTTCAGAGGAGTTAAAATATACAATTATAAAAATCTTAACTCTGTACAATATGGATGAGTCTGGAAGACATTATACTGAGGGAAATAAGAGTCACAAAAGGACAATTACTGTAAGACCACTGTTCTAAAAGGCTTGAGAAAGATTTACAGAAAAAAAGAATCCATCTAATAGGATTACCAAGGAGGTGAAGGAGGGGTGGTAGAAAATTGATAGATAGTGAACATTCATGGGATTGTGAAGGGAGGGTAACTTTGAAATGGATAGCTGATCAGACATTGTGTGTTCTGTAATTGTTATAGAACAGAATGCACATGGATGATTGATTGGAAAAAACTCATGTTTTGTAAACTTTCATGCAAATTATAATTAAGGAAACCCCCACGACTAGCTCTAAAGGAGATCTTGTTCCTATCATAACTTGTTACTTGCAACCAACTTGAGCTGACTTTTCACTGTGTTTCTGAGGTTGTAAGTGGCATGAGACATTGTGCATCTTTCCTTCGTGAAGCCATTCATATATTTGAACTTCCAGAGAGGTGGGATGTTAATGGCTAGAAATTGAAAAAGAGTGGAGCTCATTTAGGGCACCGGCAGCCGTGAGGTATGGTTTTTTCCCTCTACCACCTGGGACCCGCACTAAGCAACCATGTCCAAAGGCCCTGCGGTTGGCATTGATCTTGGTACCACCTACTCCTGTGTAGGGGTCTTCCAGCATGGGAAAGTGGAGATCATTGCAAATGATCAAGGCAACTGGACCACTCCAAGTTATATCACATTTACCGATACTGAATGATTAGCGATACAGCAAAGAATCAAGTTGCAATGTGTCCTACTAACAAAGTATTTGATGCCAAACATCTAATTGGATGAAGATTTGATGATGGTGTTGTGTGGTCTGATATGAAACACTGGCCCTTCATGGTGGTGAATGATGCAGGAAGGCCCAAGGTCTAAGTAGAATATAAAGGAGAGACCAAAAGTTTCTATCCAGAGGAGGTGTCATCTATGGTTCTCACAAAGATGAAGGAAATTGCAGAAGCCTACCTTGGGAAGACTGTTACTGATGTTGTTGTCACTGTACCAGCCTACTTCAATGACTCTCAGCGCCAGGCTACCAAAGATGCTGGAACCATTGCTGGCCTCAATGTCCTCCGAATCATCAACGAGCCAACTGCTGCTGCTGTTGCTTATGGTTTAGATGAAAAGATTGGTGCTGAAAGGAATGTACTGATCTTTGACTTAGGAGGTAGCACTTTTGATCTGTCAATCCTCACTATTGAAGGTGGGATATTTGAGGTCAGTTCTACAGCTGGAGACACCCACGTGGGTGGAGAAGACTTTGGCAACAGAATGGTCAACCATTTCATTACAGAGTTCAAGTGCAAGCGTAAGAAAGACATGAGTGAAAACAAGAGGGCTGTCAGACGCCTCTGCACTGTTTGTGAGCGTGCAAAGTGCACACTTTCTTCCAGCACCCAGGCCAGTATTGAGATAGATTTGCTGTGTGAGGGAGTTGACTTCTATACTTCCATTCCCGAGCCCGCTTTGAAGAATTGAATGCTGATCTTTTCCGTGGCACTCTGGACCCTGTGGAGAAAGCCCTGAGGGATGCCAAGCTAGACAAGTCACAGATCCAGGATATTGTCCTGGTGGGTGGTTCTACCAGAATTTCCAAGATTCAGAAGCTTCTTCAGGATTTCTTCAATGGAAAGGAATTGAACAAGAGTATCAACCCAGATGAGGCTGTAGCTTATGGTGCAGCTGTCCAGGTGGCCATTCTATCTGGAGACAAATCTGAAAAATGTTCAAGATTTGCTGCTCCTGGATGTCTCTCCACATTCTGTTGGTATTGGAACTGCTGGTGGAGTCATGACTGTCCTCATCAAGCGGAGTACTACCTTTCCTACCAAGCAGACCCAGACCTTCACAACCTACTCTGACAACCAACCAGCCTGGTGTACTCATTCAGGTCTATGAAGGTGAGCGTGCCGTGACCAAAGATAACAACCTGCTCGGGAAGTTTGAACTCATTGGGATACCACCTGCACCTCGTGGTGTTCCTCAGATTGAAGTCACCTTTGATCTTGATGCCAGTGGTATGTTTAATGTGTATGCTGTTGACAAGAGCACTGGGAAAGAAAACAAGATTACCATCACCAATAATAAGGGCCGCTTGAGTAAAGAAGACATTAAATGAATGAATGGTCCAGGAGGCTGAGAAGTACAAAGCTGAATATGAGAAGCAAAGAGATAAGGTGTCTTCTAAGAATTCCCTTGAGTCTTACACATTTAATGTGAAAGCAACAGTTGAAGATGAAAAGCTTCAAGGCAAGATCAATGACGAGGACAAGCAGATCCTCGACAAATGCAATGAAATTATCATCTGGTTTGATAAGAATCAGACTGCAGAAAAGGAGGAATTTGAGCTTCAGCAGAGGGAACTAGAGAAGGTCTGCAACTCCATCATCACCAAGCTGTACCAGAGGGCTGGAGGCATGGCCGGAGGCATGCCCGGCGCCTTCCCTGGTGGTGGAGCTCCTCCATCTGGTGGTGCCTCTTCTGGACTCACCATTGAAGAGATTGACTAAACCAATGTGCATACTTTATAGCATTCATTGTCCCACAGTTAAATTTTGAAGGACCAAAATTTGTAGCACTCTGTAGTTGAAAAGTCTAAACTGCTAGACTAAATTTCTGGGCATTCTCAATACTTGCATATGGAATGTGCGTAGGGAAAGGAATTAACATTGCACTTTATTATCACTGTGTTGTAAGTGGAAAATGCAATGTCTCAAAGATGTATTTAAAATTGGCATCATAAAAAAAGAGTATAGAGAAGAAAAGATTAATTGCAAGGTTCCTAGGCAGTACAAATCATTTATAGTTGACTGAATAAGCTAACGGTTGATGGATTAATCCTACTTGGAGCAGTGTGGAAGAAAAGGTCTATCTAGCAATCAGTTTCCATTAAAATTTCAGCAAGAAAATATTAGGAAGCCAGTCAACTCTATAATACATGTGTTTGCCATAAATTGGAACCCACTCAATGGTAGCTCATAAAAAATAACTTGTATTTGTGCAGTGCTTATACTGTTAGAACTTTGATAAAAGAATTTTATTTAATTCTATTTATTTATTTAAAATTTAGAATGGTCTAAGTTTTCTTGGAGAGAGATGTTCCCATTATGTAGGAAACTGAGATTGAGTGAATTGACTTGTCTCACGGTAATTGAGTTGACAAGTTTTTCTTCTAAAAATTTAGTTAGCCATTTAATTTGTATCTTCCTTCCTTAAATGATCAAAGTAAAGAGAAAATATAGTAATGGTTCAGAATTTGACTATCTTAGAATCATCTGGAGGAGCTTTATGAAGACAAACTTGATAAAACAAAGCAAAACAAAACCATATTTTTCTTACTTGTGCTTTTCCCCCAGAGGTTCTGATCTCATTGATCTAGATGAGGTCTAAGGTTTAACATTTGTTTATAGTTTCTTCAGATGATTCCAGTTAGAACCAGTAATCTGGAGAGTGGATTTTTAATCATAAATAATGAATGGAAAGATTTCAGAAAGTTTATTACACTCATATTGTGGAAGTTCTTGGCAACCAAATTGAAGAATTTTCTAAAAGAAATGGAATGTGAGCATGTATGTGATCACATAAGCAATTAAAAATTTTCTGATAGCTGTACTAAATAAATGAAGTTTATGAATATATTTTTAGTTCAGTATAGCCAAAAGAGTTTCATTTCAACATGTATTCAATATCAGAATTACTAAATATGTTTTATATTCTTTGGAACTAAGTCTTGGTAGTTTGGTGTGCATGTTCACATTTACAGTTTATTCATTAAATGTAACCAAATATACTTCAATTTGTAGGACGTGGTTTTGGATTTTCATTGGTTTTAAATGCTGAGAAGCCACTCAGGGATGGAAACCTTTATGTGTTTCCTAAGGCGGCCTCTAAGGTTTTTCCTAGGATTTCCTAATGTAGGGTAGCTATGGTGCTCCTCAGGAGAAAGATGAACAATCTGCTCCTTTGCAGTTTAAAACTTGGGGAAACTTGGATGAGTTGGAATCTCATTGGCAGTAAGATTTGAATTTGAAGGTATAGAGGCTTTCACCCCTTTGTACCTTTACAGTATTGCCTGATGTATACTTGGTAGGGAATTGTTGGTATTGAATGGAAGTTTCACCTAAAACTTTCCTTTGATCAAGGAACCCTGATGATGCAGTTAGGTTTGGTTAGGTTGCTAACCAAAAGTGAGACTAGCCATGTCTGGAGAGAAAGGTGGATAGTCTGCTCCTGTGAAGACTTAGAGCCCTGGTTCCAGTTAATCATGGATTGGATGAAACTTCATGGCACTTTGTATTTTGTTTTTTATTTTCCCCTTTTGATTAGGTAATTGGAAAAATAATCAGGGACCATTTTAAAGGATAGATTACTTCTTCTGATAGTATTGTTGTTGTTGTTGTTGTTATGTGCCATCGAATCGCTTGCAACTCATAGCGACCCTGTGTACAACAGCTCAGCTCTTCTCTGTCCTGTGCCAATCTCATTGTCTCTGACACACTCATCCCGACTGCCCCAGTCACTGAATCAGTCCACCTCCCAGAGGGCCTTCCCCTCTTGTGCCTGCCCTCCACCCTCCCAAGCCTGATGTCCTTCTCCATATTTAGAAGTTAATATTTGGAGATCAGTTTCTGGAAAGAGGCTTATAACATTCTTTTTTTCTGAATTGTGGCAGTACTTTTTAAAAATTATTTTGCAGTGAAAATTCAATCTGAACATAAATTTATCTGTCTTGATAAATATCTAAAGAGACTGGTGTGATTTCTACAAAAGGCTAAGAGGGGTGGTTAGACTTGAGTGTGCAGTTCTAGACCTTCTCCCTCACATGATTCTGTAGTACACAGAGCAATTCTGAAACTTTTTTATTTACAGTATACCTGGCAAGGCCAGTGCCTTGGAAGACCTTCAGCTAGACATGTATTATTTATCTGGTATTGTCTTAGTAACATTGTTCTCTCTCTTTTATAGGCATCTAGTTTTGCAGGTGATTTAAGCTATGCTATTGCTGGGTTGATATTTTTAGAATATAAAGCAAGTGCACAATGGTCTGCAGAACTGTTGGTCATCAGTTATCGAGGAGAGCTTAGAAGTTACCTTGTAAGGTAAATATGCACTGTGGGAAGTGTTTGTTTTTCTGTTTAACTAAAAACATCTATTTTTAGTCTTCAAACATCAAAATGCGTACCCCTCTCTCCCAGATAATTATGATTAGCTTATAGAAATTGACATTTACATTGTTTCTTCAAACATTTATCTTTAACAGAAAACTAGATTATAGAATGTGAAACTAAAAAAATTAAAACAATGAATATTGTTGTTTTTATAAAACCAAACAGAACCTAGCTTTAAGTCAAGAAAATCCTCTCATACCTCAGATTCTTCTCTAAGAACTTGCTTTGTAATGTTACTTCCATTTAGCAAAAATCTGACCTAATTTAGTATCTTTCTTCCTTCTGATGTAATTTAAAACTCTTACATCTTCCAGTATTATATTTGCAAAGTCATCAATACCTTGAAGTATGCCAACGATATCCTGCATCACATGAATTTTTGAGCCTGAATACTTGTTCACACGCTCAAGTGGCAACAGGAGCAATCAGTGACTTGGTGGTACCATTAGCTACTGTAAAAAGAGCAAGGGCCATGTGAAGACAACCATATCTGACTTTTACCATCTTCTCAAAGGGAAACTATCCCTATCAACAGCATAAATAACATAAAACCAATTCCCAGGAGGTCAGACATGTCTCCCACACCTTCCATACCTCTTTCTACTCATCTGAACACCAGTCTTAATACTTTGCTGTGTTCAAAATCTAATATGATAGTTCTTAGATCACACAGAACCATGTTAAAGAAGTTAAAAGGTTATAATCAAGGTTAATAGCAGAATGCAGTCAAGACAGCTCCCGATATGTGCACTTTCGGACCTTTGGCCTCAAACCTCACGGCTTTAGGCCAGTGTTCTTGGGTAGTCATTCCTGCCAGTATTGGCTTCCCAGCCCTAGTTGTTCAGCAAAGTTCTCAGTCTTGCCAGGATTGGCTTCCCACCTCCAGTTGTCCAGCAAAGTTCTCAGTCCTCCCAGTATTGGCTTCCTACCTCTGGTTGTCCAACAAAGTTCTTAGTCCTGCCAGTATTGGCTCTCCCCATCAAGGTCCCATCCCAAGCCAGGTCTTCAGTTTGGCCATGTCTCTTGCTGCCAAAGTTGTAGTTGGAGAAAGAAGGGCATCCTATGTACTCTTTGTTTCTTCTTCAGTAGCAGAAGATCTGTCTGTTTCTTGCTGTTAGCTTGCTGAATTTGGTGGCGAGACTAGCCAGTCCCCTTGTGGTATGGTGGATAACCAGCCCGCTGTTTATCTATTCCTGTTTGATCTATTATCAAATTCCTGTTTATCTACATAGCATAGTCAAACAATCGCTAGGAAAAGTCATATTGAAACATGAAGTCCACAGCTGCCTTGGCTATTATAGAAGCAGGAAAAATTTTAAAAGTGTTATTTCTCTCATTTAGTTTTAACTTGTGATATTTCTTGTTTTTCTTCCTCTCTAGTGTTTTATTATAAAAAAAGTACACGAACACTCTTCTTACCATCTAGAGACTACCTTTTAATGTGCCTTTTAAATCACGTCTGTATCCATCTATCCAGCCATCATCAATCTTTTGATTTGAGAATAAGTTGCAGTTACCACATATTTTAAAATCTCTAGGAGAAATGATGATAGTTATGGAAAGGCATTAGGTCTTCTGTTCAGAGTCACTGTGACTCGTGCTCAACTTGATGGCAGTCAACAACTACAACATTATTAGTTGTTGTTCAACATATTTTTTGTTTTGTTTTTTACATTTTTATTATTATTATTAATTTTAATGAAAATTTACAGACGTTGGATTTCCATTCATTCATTGTTGTACTTTTCTCCCTGCCCACCCCCTCCCCCCAGTTCACTCCTTTATTTGAAAAGTAAAAGAAAAATTCTTTCATTGTTATACAGTCTCTCCCCGCAGGTTCACTCCACTATACAGCCTTCATTCTTGACTCCTGTCATGACAATAATACCTAATCACATATCACTTTTAAACAGTTTCTCCCTCATTTGTTTCAATGCAGTATACATTATTTATCCCATCTTTCTCTGTCTCCTCCCAACCCCAATTTCAGTCCCATTTTATAACAGTGGCACTATGCAGTATTTGTCCTTTTGTGACTGAGATATTTCACTCAGAATAATGTCCTCCAGGGTCACCTATTTTGAATAATATTATATGAGTTCCTTGTTTTTCAGTGCAGCATAGTATTCTGTTGTGTGAATGAATATACCAGAGCTTCTCTATCCATTCGTTTGTTGTTGGGCCTTTAGGTTGTTTCCAACTCTTGGCTATCATTAACATAGCCACAGTAAACATCGTATGCATATATCTGCTTGGGTGACACTTATGGTCTCTTTGGGGTATATTCCCAGTGGTGGAATTGCTGGGTCAAATGGTTTTTCTATTTGCAACTTTTTGAGAAAGCACCACACTGCCTTCCATAGTGGTTGCACCGTTTTACACTCCCACCAACAGTGAATAAGGGTTCCAGTTTCTTCACAACCTTGCCAGCGTTTGTTGCTTACTGTTCTGTTAAATTTTGCTATTCCGACTGGGGTGAGATGATATCTCATAGTTGTTTTGACTTGCATCTCTCTTAGAGCTAGGGATTTTGAACATTTCTTCATGTGCTTGTTGACCATCTGAATGTCTTCTCTGGTGAAGTGTCTGTTCATATCCTGTGCCCATTAGTTCAACATATTTTTGCAGTGTTATTTCTTTTAGGGTAAAATTTACATACAAAGAAAGGAATAAATCTTAAATTCATCATGCTGTGTGTTATGACAAATTCATATATATGTATAAGCCTAATTCCTATGTGGTGGTGTTCAGTGCCGTCGAGTCGCAGGCAACTCATAGCGACCCTATGAAGGAGAGTCCTCGATGCCTGGGTGCCTTTCCTCCTCTCTCCAGGTTCATAGGGTTTCCTGAGGCAAGCTATTACGGAAGTGGATGCCACTTCTCCTTCCAAGCTATAGTGATGTTACGTATTATAATACCCAAAGGGTTACTTATACTTGTGCATCTCTAACCCTACCCCCTCCTAGTACACTACATACAGTTTAAGGGTTTTTTTAAAAAATTCTCATTATAGGTTAGTTTTGCATGTTCTAGTATTCACATTGATGGAATCATACATTTCAAGTCATTTTTGACCAAATCTTCATTCAGCATGATGCTTTGAGATTCATTCATACTGTTAATATATCTCAGTATTTAAAAAAAAATCCTGAATAGTATACCATTGTGATTATTTTATGGTTTATTTTCCCATTGTTTTAGTTGGTGAACCACCAACTTTACAGTTTGGTCTTATTGTTAATAAATCAGCTCTGACCATTCTTGTTGAAGTCTTATGGCTTGGTTTTAATTTCTTTTGGTTCAACAGCATAGGGTAGAAGTTCCAGATAATAGGGTAGATGTAACTTACTTTTATAAGAAAGAAACTGCAAGATTTACATACAACCAAGTATGTTACCAAAGTTCTACTTATTTCATATCCTCTATGATATTTCTTCTTGTCTTTCTTTTTAGTTAGAAACATTTTAATAGTTGTTTATCCATATTTTTTTGTGGTTTAATGGCATTCATGTCTTGTTTTACTTACTAAATTTAGTGTTGGAACGAATCAGAGCTACCAGGAAAGTCACTGTTTCAGCTTTAGTAGTTACTATCCTCATGGAATCAACACAGCCATTTACCATCCTGGTCACAGGTAAGCAACCATTTGTTTTCGTATTTGTTTTTGGGGAGCTCTGTTGGCTTAATGGTATGGCATGGCACTGCTAACCCAAAGGCTCACCTTTCAAATCTACTCCTTTCTCTGTAGGTGAAGGGTGGCCATTCTTCTCCTATATAATTTAGTGCCTCTGAGAACCTGCTAGAGGGGCAGGACGCTATGAGTTGGTTCCAACTCAGTGGTACATACCAAAACGTAGAAATTTGAACACAGATGAAGAGAGAGGAAATAGTTCAGTTCTGATTCTTATTTTGACTTCCTCATTTCCTCCTTTTGTATATAATTATCTTGAATATGTATAATATTGTTATCTCTTTGGATCATTCCTGCTTATCTGTATGGTCAGCTTGAGTTAAGTCAGCTAGGGTACTGGAGAACATTTAGTGATGAATTTCTTCTCTCCTAACTCTTGGAATCTTCTTTTTTGTAGTCTGTAAAATGAAGATAATACTTAATTTATAGAATTGTTTATAGAATTAATAAAACAACAAAAACCCACAGTAACATTACTTTATATTTTCTTTCTTTCTTTACAAGTTCAGGTTGCATTAGTTGATACCTAGCTGTTTCCTAAGACTTTATCTCATTCTTCATATATATCACTTGCCTGTGTATTTGCCATCTACGTTGAAAGCTACTAGAAACTTTTGGCATTTTGTACTTCCATTGATTTTTTCCCCCTTTTTATTATTGGAAAATGAAATTTGCGTATATTTTATCAATTACCCAAACTGGTTTGTTCTCTAAATGGGGTGAGTAAACTTTTTAAGTTAGACAAACTCTGCTCGAGTTCTGAATTTTTGAACATAACTTTTTTATTTGTTGATGAGTTCTTAAACTATGATCCACAGTGTACTTTTAAAAAAATGTTTTATTCTGATAGAACAGAAGTTTTGTATTCCTTTCAGTTTTAGGTCCTTTTTAAATTTCAGGCTTTTATTATTAAGAAATTTTAATACTCCTAGGATATGTACCACATTCTGTTTCTTGTTGCTGGTGCTGAGCTTCTAGAATTCTGCTCCTGAATCCACTGAATTTACTTGTGAGACCAGTCAGTCCCTGTGAATAGGCTAACACATCCTCATTATATGATCCTGCCTATCTGTGTTACAAAGACAAAGTTAATGGTGTGGAAAACCATCTTAAACAGTAAATCCTTGACACCATATGTTGTTTTGTGATTTACCCTTTATATGTCTGGTTCTCTTTTTCTTTATTCATAATTTTACTGTGTATAATTAATTCACAAAATCCATTTCTTTGTATAATTAAAAAATTATTGTGGTAATGTATATATCTCATAAAATTTATTTTAGTACTTTTTGTTTATTTAATTTTAATTTTATGTAATTTTAAATGTGATTAATTATGCAATGTTAATTACCTTAAGTATTAATTAATTAATTACATTAAGAAAATCTGCTTTCAAGGACCTCTCCAAAGTTCTGAAGATCAAGGATGTCGGTATAAAGACTAAATTGTGCCTTATCCAAATCATAACATTTACTTTTGCTTCCTGTATGTGTAAAAGTTAGACTATGCATAAAGATGACTGAAGAATTGATGCCTTTGAATTGTGGTGTGGAGAAGACTATTGATCATCCTTTGGATGGCTACAAGAACAAACAATTTGATCTTGGGGAGAAGTGAAACCAGGATGTTCCTTACAGGCAAGGAGGGGGAAACTTCATCTCACATTCTTCAGGCATGTTGTCAGGAGGGACTAGTTCTTGCAAAAAAACTTCATGCTGGAAAAGGTGGAGAGTCAGAGAAAGAGGGGATGACCTTAAACAAGGGGAATTGAATTGATGCAGTGACTGTAACAATAGGCTTGAGTATATCAAAGATTGTGAATATGGTACAGTTTAGTGTAAAGTTCAGATCCAGTCTTCATACGGTCACTGTAAGTTGTAATCGACTTGATGGACTCTAGCGACAACAACCACCTCATGTTGTGTAGTCAGTTCTCACTGTATTTTTGAAATTGTTTTTCACCCTAAAGCTACGTACTCACTGAACAATAATTTTCTATTTCCTCTTCCTCTCATTCTGGTAGATATAGTGCATGCATTTCCCTTTTGTAGATATATTATTGGAAACAAGCAGTAAGTAACTATTTATGTTATTTTATTTAGTATGTTTTCAAGGTTCATCTACTTTGTATGATTGAATAATATCTCATCATATAGATATACCACATGTTGTTTATTCACTGATAGGCTAGTAGACACTTTAGATTTAAGACTTTGTGACTTTTGTGCATATTCCTGCACTCAATCTGTTTGATTCCAAGGCTCCTTTGGAATTATTTTTTTTTTTTTTTTTTTGCCTCAGTTGAGAGTATGGTGGTTGAAATGGAATTATTTTATGATCCTATTATTGTCCTCAAATTAAACTGAAAGCAGGGACTCAAACAGATTGAGTGTAGGAATATGCACAAAAGTCACAAAGTCTTAAGTTTTCAACCTGTATACAGAACAGATTACCCGGGCGGCTGGGCTCTATGAGAAGTGTGGTGTCAGGATTGGTGGAAGATTCATCCAACAATCTGCGTTATGCAGATGACACAACCCTGCTTGCTGAAACTGAGGAGGACCTGAAGCGTTTGCTGTAGAGGGTCAAGGACTGCAGCCTTCAATAGGGATTGAGGCTCAATGTCAAGAAGGCAAAGATTCTCACCACTGGACCAATTGGCAGCATCAGGTTGCATGGCACTTGTTATGCATCAGAGAGTTGGACAATGACTAGGGAGGATAGAAGGAGAATTGATGCCTTTGAGTTGTGGTGCTGGAGAAGAGTATTGAGAG